CCTTCAACTTTTGCACCATGTTGTCTTTGATGAACAAAGTAGCAACAGTACGGTATACATCCGAAAACCACCCACATCAAACTTGTAGTTCGGTTTTCGGAAACCCTAATGCAACCATGATGACAGTGTGAGGGCGAGCAGGCATCGACAAGGAATTGAGGAAAGTAGGGACACGGATAAAAACTCTACGCAGACCGTTGAAACAGTGACTGTTTGGCTGTTCAGTTTTTAACCGACATCCCTCGCAGGGCGTGTTTATTTGTGGCAAACAGTGATTCAGTCATGAAAGCTCAATTCACAGCACAACAGTCCTTCAGTGTTTGCTCGGTTTGTACAACGATGTCTCATCTTAACAGTGATCATACTGGACTCCAAATAATGTTGCTAAGGTAACTGTAATGCAGTTTACAGTTTCAAGGTGCAAGACTAGGTGCGTGCAGCGGCAAACCATATGTGGAACGACAGAGGTGTTAGATGGCAGTGGTAAGAACCAAAATGGTTCAGCTGCAACACACTTCCGGTGCCTAGTTGCCATGCCACCCGGAGGAAGCACATGGGCTTGGATACTACCAGGTTGCCCAAACTTATACAGGGGAAGTCGAGAGGAGGCCGGGTTTGAACCACGGACCTTACGGTCAATAAATCCACGCTCTAACCACTGAACCATCTCTCTCCCTTGGTATGCACGGAGTGAGTGTCGGATTGCTGAAACCGGGTGCGGCACATTCAATTGTTTGAAACATCACAAACGAGAAATTCAGCTGGGTAGGTCTCCCGTCAAAACCAAATTGGTGTGTGAATGAGTGTATTTCGCTGGTCAAGATTTCTTCTGCCAGAGCAACCTAAGGGCAAGAGTGTGTCAGTGTAAGGTAGAGAGAGGGTGGAACACAACAGTACTAGCACTCTGGTTTTGCCACCGTGCGAGAAAGACAATAAGACTGCTTAACTTTGACCATCAATAACTATGGTATGTTGTGCATGTTTTCTAAGAACATCTAGTTATTGTTACGAGTGTCTTGATTCGGTTGCAACCGACTTACGTACCAGATGATCAACTACTTTCTTAGCTGTCTTCTGGGGGCGAGATAGCTCAAGCGGTTAGAGCGCGAATTTACTGACCGCAAGGTCTGTGGTTCGAACCCAACCTCTGCCACTCGACTTCCCCTGTCTAGGCTTGGGCAACCTGGCAGTATCCCAGCCCTCGTGCTTCCCTCGGGTAGCATGGCAGCTAGGCACCGGAAGGGTGTTACAGCTGAACGATAGCCGTCTTCTAAGTCGGGCTCTGATTTGAAATACCCCGGGCCTTAGCCGATCATGCGGGCAGGTCGTGGTCAACATGCCTGCTTCGCAGATCGTAGTGCTGCTGTTGCGTCCACAAACTCGTTGCTTTTTCCCAGCCGACTTACTGTTTTGCTTCCCATGCTCATGACTTTTGACTAACTGGGTCTTCTCTTGAAGCCGATTCGCCATTCATCATTTGATACAGTGACACATGAACAAGCTCATGAAGTTAGAGACAAGCAACACAAACCAGAGCACTTAGTCAATTTTTTTCAAGATGCACCACTCGCGTAAATTTAAAAGACACCCGTTCTAGTGAACGAAGTATCAGTAAACCGGAAAACAGCAGTGTAAATTGAACAGAACGAATGGACGTGTCTGCAATTCATGTAGATAGAAAACGCAACCATGGATACTGAGGAAACAACAAAAAGCGGAACCGGCTACTATACAAGTCGAGGTTGCTATAGTACTATAACAAGTTTCGTTCTAATAGCAAGACCGAATACTGTAAGTACCCTCACGCGGCAAATTACTACGCTACCCTTGATCGGAGTGATGGCAGGCGATGTGCCCCCAAAGAAAACGTGAGTAAAGTTGTGGTGCTGAATGAATGAATTTACCAGTTTGAGAAAAAGGAAACTCGCACATAAGTTTGTTTGTTCAAGAAGACCGGAAAGACTGACAGCACCGCCCTCAAACAGACACTGACAAACAAACACTGACAGACGGTGAGAAAGAAAGAATCGGTACTTGTGTAATTGTATTATCACAGTTGAACCAACCGACTACCGGAAGTAACCAAATATTCTTAAATACACACCGCGTCAAACGTGACAAGGCACGAATAGACCTGGTTAAGTGAGGACAAGTAGAGGGATATTAGGTGTACAGATCCCGACTGAAGAATGACCGCGGGAAGAGTAGAAAGAGAACGGAAGTCTCAGTAAAACAAAACCAAGAGCAATGCGCCAAGCCATGGCTCAGCTGGATGGTTCGAAAACAGACGGACATCCAACTCAGAAGCAATCAAAGACTGTGGTTTCGGTTCTCTGATATAAACAAACTCAAAGTGTCAAATCTCAGTAAGTACACTTCCCTTAAAGTTAGTACACCGCCTTTCAGTGGAAGTGGGGCGCTGGTTCGTGGAGGGAGCAGATGAGTTCGAACGATCAGTATCTTTTGTGTGGGAACGAGGCGCGATAGGGCCAGTCGAGCCATCCAAATCCAGCATGGAAGAAAGACCGATGGGAGGGAAGGTGGGAAGAAAAGCTGGGAATAAGGGTACGATCGAAGGTTCGGAGCAATCACCATTAGCATGGGATTCGTCACAGTTTCGTGGGGTCGTTCCTCTCAACACCCGCTGCAACTGGAGAAGGGGAATATGGTTTTATAAGAAAATAGGGGACCAACATTTGATGACCTAAAAACAACTAACGGTAGAGCAGTTCTAGTGACACCAGGCTTCGCATTATCTTCTTTCAGGACCATAGGCATAGACAGAATAACCAACTAAATTACAGTGGTTTGATTGGACACGGCTAGGCAGAACGTTCGTTAATGTAGTACCGAAAAACACAGTAAATTCTGTCACAGCGGTCCCCAGACTCTTCACCTCATACGCGCCTTAGCCCCCTGTGTCTGACGCCCTTCTCTTGATAAAATTCATACCCCCAAACTCAGAACTTTTCAAAGAGAGCCGACTTTCCCGAATAGTGCAGAACAGCATTCATCGTCACGTATGACCAAGTGTGCGAACCTCTTGAAAAAGGTTATCCTCAGCGGGGGCCCAGTAGTAATTTTTTTAGCAGCGGCTTTCATTGGGGTGTACAGTGAGCTCAAGATGGCTCAGTGGTTAAGGCAAGAAGTTACTAGTCGGGAGATTCGTGGTTCGACGCCAACCTCTGAGTCTTCACTGCTCCCGTCCAGGTTTGAGCAACCTGACAGTAGCTCAGCTTCCTTCGGGTGGGATGGGAGCCCGGCACCGAAGGATTATTATTATTATTATTATTATACACAATAGCTAGTGCGCCGCATAAGTACAGCTTGGAACTATAAACATTACTCAGGAAGACCGAGACCAAACATTTTGGAAACATGTAGCCTCTTTAGAAGTTCAGATGAGACATGTTGACCAACTGCTCTCTCCAATATGATGTATAGAAGGCAATAAACAAAGAATTGTTTCATTCCATAATTCTTGCTAGTAGCCAGTCTCAGTACGTCCTTTGGGAAATGGATCGTGGTCCAAACATCTTCATTGATTATGCTTGTCAATCAAACTCGGTCAACTGTTGTTGCGTGGTCTCAACTGCGATGGCTCACAGTGCAGTCGTCAACTTTATCTCAAAACCTAAGCTGGACAGAGAGGCTTCTTAATCGGATATACCCAATAAACGAACATGATCAAGAATTATGTGACAAGTGCACTACGATAAAAGCACAAACTTGTCAGAAACCAACCATCCTGATTTATTTACGGACACTCAAACCCTATGATTTGCAGATTCATTGAATTGGACGGAGATGCACATGAGCAGTGTTATGCGCGACAAAGCAACGACAGTCAAGTAATCATCACCGTCGACAGCATAGAACCAGTGTTCAACACTGACGCGTCGCCACCGACATTGAGGCGAATTTTCTAAGCGTGATATTCAAAACTTCTACTTCGACAAGCAACTATCCGAGGCAGCACCTCAGTGCCTTCTCAGTCATCTAACTTGACTCTATCGCCCTCTTGTGAAACAACGGTTCATTGTATTTTTACCGGTCAGCGCGAGACGATACCGTGCTTTGGATACGAACATGATCCACACGCGGTAGCGATTTTGCACTAACCATCCCAGAACGCAATTAAACGCGTAGGCCACACTGGCGTCATTAGTGCCAGCAGAAACGTTGATCCTCGAACCCTCCCTACGCCATACTCGGTCATTTGCAGCAGTAAAAACAACTGTAATGCCTCATTATGTCTGAGGAATCTCGGTTGCTGGTCTGGTTACCGAGCTTCGCAATTGAAGTGCAAACGTTTCATCATCAGTCGAGGTGGGTTTTGTTTCTCCAGTGTGATTGGGTCGATTCCTTCTTGCTTTGGTCGCTCGAATAGGTGATTAGATTAAACAGCGGTTCCCGAATATCGTACCGAACGCCTATTTAACTACCAAGATCCGTCCAGTACTGATGTCCGAAATTCAATCACGAAACCCGAGTCTGTTGCACTCAGAGAGCGTTTGTACGCGCATTGAGTCTTTCGTGGTCTGCTCACGTGACCAATGGCCACTCCGGCTAATCGATCGTGACGTAGACAGTTTTCACTCCACTTTACCCACGTTTTACCTGTACGGATCGATCGTTTTTAGTTTTACAATCTATCGGCCTGTACTGGCCAGAAAAAGAGGTCGCAAAAACATCAATGTGTGGCCAAAATGTGACTCCGAGTGCCATCCGTGCACTCAGCAGCTGGATCTAAACACGGTTGAAGGTGTGGCTGAATGATTTGATTCAACGAGATGAACTATTAAAACCGTGTTTACAGTTCTGGTAACTCTGGAAACCAACGGTGAAGGATAGCGTTTCGTAGAATTTTCAAAGAAGCCTACAGAAAAACAAGAAGAGTATACGAACACACAAAACAAGCTAAATCAACAGTTTCTTAGAACAATCTGCCAGGCCCAGATTGGAACTGCGTTAAACGATAAAAAAAGATATGAACAAACCTTGGGGTTTCGTGGAAGAAACTGATCAGGATTCGTTTGCAATAAATTAACTGCAACAGAGCAGTCGTCTTTGTAGCGGTTCTGTGGGAAAAACACATGAGAAAACCCGGTGTTGTTTCTAAAAATGTTGTATCCATAAAAACACGAACAAAAAAAAACGTAAAACACTTGGAAAAATTAAGTTGATCATAGAGAAACCCTGGATCACATGAACCCGAGAATTTTCTGGGAGGTGAAGTAAACGGTTCACAAGTATTGGATCACCTGATATGCCTTGGAATAGCTAATCCAGGGTTTCTACACAACTTTAATGGGAACAATGATTGTATAGCCGTATTGACGGTGGTGGCCCAGGAGTTTCATCAAATATTAGCATACAGATGAAGAAGCAGAGAGCTCATAAGTTGTGAAGTGTGTAACGGTAACTACCAATCAGAGGTTGTACAAAAGCGAGACAATATCACAGTGTTACACATGCACCACCTCGACAGAAGAGCACGAATAAAGCCTGACTATCCCGAATAAATGCACCGTGACAGCCAGCGCGGTTCCACTTCCAGCTATTTCACAACCCATCATGTGACGCATACAAATCCTGGTCCACGGATCATTTTCTAGTCTGACGATATACAACAGAGGATGGGGTCAACCTCCATATGGTCGGGTAGTCCCGTGCTCGCTACTATGGACAGTCACTCATTCAAGCACGCTGTTTCCAAGCAGACAAAGACTGGCGAACCTCGTTTTCAGTTGATTGACGAAGGTGACACTGGGACACAGGGGCAGAATTCGAGAAAATACATAAAAGCAAGGCGATCAAGCACAATCTACTTTGCTAGTGAGAATACCTGTGATCGCAAAAACAAGCAAGCTTATGAGAGGAGAATGTGGTGCTGATGATGAGATTGCTGTACAGTACAGAGTAGTTTCATTTGTAGGATGGAATCTAAAAAACAAGCAGCTTATGAGAGGAGAATGTGGTGCTGATGATGAGATTGCTGTACAGTACAGAGTAGTTTCATTTGTAGGATGGAATCTAGACCAAAATTTCAAAATTCCCTCAATCCTTAAGAAAGATGAATAACTTGTTCATAAAAGGAAGATGTCCACGCGTTTCTCATCAGGGAAGCTAGCCAATACCGAATGGCCCAACCTCGAACTGAAGGATGGTGGCCCCATGTCCTGCGCACGGATGCTGGAGCTTAGCTACTAGACGGAAGGCTACGAGACCAAGGAAACTTCTACTAGAGTTTACAAATGCACAAAAAGAGCGACCACAGAACGTGCATCGATTTAGGCGAAAAGGCCTCGCAAATACAGGGGTTAGGAAGGCAGGACCTTACCCGTTCAGCAGAAACTATGCTTAGTCGTCGTTCACAGTCGGCAAGCTTGGATTTCGCAGCCTCCAGTTCATCGCAGAGGAATTTCTTCTCAGTGTTTTTCGCATCGATCTGGAAGTGATGTGGAACGACACAGCTACAGGATGTGGTAAACGTGCCCACTGGATGCTACATTTAAGCAACCGAAGAAACAAATTTAAACGAATTGACGTAATCCTGTGGGATATCACAGCGGAATTTGCAACAATAGAGGCCCAGACGGCTTGCCGGAACGTCAGAAACAAGGATAAGTGACTAATGGAAATCATACAAGAGTGTCCTATCGTTTCGATTGAGAAGCAGCAGTGTGGACAAAGGATACGCCGGTGCAACCATCTGATTCATCTGGTGAGCTTAAAATGAATGGGTGGCATCCGAGTCGGATAAGTAGCAAACAGCGGTCGAGTCACCGGACAAGTGATCAGTGCTGACTAGCCACAGAAGACTCGCGCGTAGTCGAAAGTAGTGCTGCCTTCAAAGGCTTTACTCTGAAGAGGACCTGAGAAAATAAGACTGGCACGTTACCAGATACAGGACTGTTGCAGGCCAACATTAGGCCCAAAGAAAGTAACACGGCAATGAGCTTGGGATAGCATAAAACCGGACTGCACGGTGTTCAGAACGTTGTTAGCGAAGCTCTGAAGGATAGTTTGGCGGTTTACGATTGGAATAAAACGGCTAATTGTTGATTGAATGGCGAATGACAGTGAAATTGCACAAGGAACAAGGGAAATCACGATTACCAGAAAGCTTATTGAAAAAAATGTTACTACACTACGACTAGTGGTACATATGCCCCCACCCTCGCCGAAGAAATGTCTCCGAGGGATTCATTCAGCGCCCAGCTGTAGCACCTTTTCAGTGCCTAGCTGCCATACCAACAGAAGGAGGCACGGGGGGCTGGTTTGTCCAAGCCTATACAGGAGCAGTTGGGATGCTGAGGTTGGGTTCGAACCACGGAACGATCCTGTACACGTATCCTAGGCTAAATCATCGGCCAAGTCAAGTTAGTGTGGCAGCTGCGCTCGTGAAAAACTATCGTAATTCATGAAAAAAAACGAATAAATGGCACAAGAGTCTCATTCTGGTCCTTCCTCACAGGGGAGTAAATGGGCTAATTTATGGAGCCGAGTGTTACCTCTTCGCATTCGCAGAAGGAAGGCTCTTCTCTCAGGGAATGTCATTTACATATGCAAACACTAGGAGGTGTCCTCTCGATGGCACTGGCGGCGTAATTTCTAACGAATCCCCAAGAAACCCCATGCTATACTACCTATCAGCCATTCTCGATGTTACATGGTCCTCGTGAAGCACCTTATGCTAGCCCAGTAGCGACCAGCCAACGCGCTTTGAAACTTTATGTTAGAAGGCACGCCTTTGTCGGATGTTCAAGTGTTAAGAGTCATTCATAGGTTAGTGGTCAGGCTAACACCACGGGGGCCGCAAGTATAGAGTGATTGACAGATATCCCAATAACTGGACACAACTTTAGTCGAATTCAGTTATCTGGCACAAACAATTTCGCTGGAGTCCAGTAGATAGTTCCGGTCAATATGGCGTGGACTTTGCATCGATTAATTACGTCATTCGAAAGGACAAGTTCTAGGATTGCAGTGACACGATTCAACACTGCTGTAGTGGTTTTCACAGGAGATTCACCTGAAACCCAGCTGAATCTCCCGTTTATGATATTCTTCAACTGAATGTGCTGCACAAAGGCCAACGAAGAGAGAAATTGGGGCTGCTGAATAGTTTTCAGCAATCTTGTGAGTAGCTTTCCTTATGCAAATATACTGCGATATCTACAAGATCGTACCAACTAAAACCTGGGGCGGCCTTTGTGCAGCATAGTCAGTTGAGGAATATCATGAACGACGGATTCAGCTGAGTTTCGAGTGAGTCTCCCGTAAATAACTAGCATGCAAACGTGTATTCGAAGAAACATGTCCAGTTCAAACAGCTACGCGGTAAAGGGATGCCGCACATAATAAAAATGCACCTATTCGTCTGGAGGAAGTGGTTAGCGAGTTTTGATGTCTAAAAATAAAAAAACCGTCCAGCTGTAGCACCCTTTCGGTGCCTAGTTGCCATGCCACACGAAGGAGGCACGAGGGCTGGGATGCTGCCAGGTTGCCCAAGCCTAGACAGGGGAAGTCGAGTGGCAGAGGTCGGGTTCGAACCACGGACCTTCCGGTCAGTAAATTCGCGCTCTAACCACTTGGTACACCTTGATGTCTGCAAGAGTTTTTAGTCAGCAGCGCAGTGAATGGCTGATTAGTATTCACTGGGACTCCTCATTCGATCGGGTGGTTCTTGCCAAGACTGACAAGTGGGTTTACTCCAACAAAGCTGTACTGTACCGAGTGCCAGTGAGTCCAGGCTGAAAGCAAAACAACTTTCACTGATGATGAGATAAGTGAGCAAACAATCCAATATACCTTTTCGGTTTGACAAATACGTGCTCCAGATAGCTCGGTGATTGAGGCACGAACTTACTGATCGGCTGGTTCCGATTCGAACTCAAGCTCAGAAACTCGACTGTTCCTGTCTATGCTTGGGCAACCTAACAGTATCTCACCTCTCATGCTTCCTTCGGATTGTGTGGCGGCTAGGCACCATAAGGGTACCACGGGTAAATCAGTGGCATAGTTATTTTATGGGTTATTGCTCGCCGGTCACAAAATGAACTGACACGAGCATCTTGTTTCAGTAAGACAAGACAGTAAGACACATAAAAGACTTACTGTTTCCAGCAGGCGTGCCTCCAGTTCATGATTAATTTTACTCAGACGATGGTGATTAGACAGAAGCCTGACAAAGGGAACAATAAAAAAACTTCAGCGAGAGTTGGTATGATTTTGACACACGTCAAAGTCTATGCAAGTTAAATAAGATCCCGCTGGATGGTGTGCTCGCAGTATTTATGGTACGAGTCATTTAGCGTGACAGTTGATCAGTAAGTATGGATCAATGGCATGGGCTTGAGATACCACAGACGCGAACTTACTGGGAGAAAGGTCAGTGGTTCGAACTCAACCTCAGAATCTCAGCTGTTCCCGCTTAGGTTTTGGCAACCTCCCGGTATCTCAGCCTTCGTGCACCTTCCGGATGGCTATGGCAGCTAGAAACCCAAAGGGCGTTTACAGTTGAACGACCGATCATGGGTATGGAACAATTCCATTGTGACGTTTCTTCTCAATGCATGAACCAGAGCTGCCTCCTCTCACTGTAGTAGGATACGTGATCAAAACGCAGCCCTCTCGGCTCATATACAATGCTTCAGTGCGGTGTCACTAAAATAGAGTGCCTTTGCTAAGTCTACAATGGTGTTGGTTTCACGGCCCAATCCGCTTGTCCGAGCGGTGTAGCGCGATATTGCTGCAATCGGGCGCATGTAGTTTTTTGAAGTAACAAGCAACAACTGGGTACAATGTGGGCTACGGACGGATGAACTACCCGGTGACGAATGACAGGCATATGGAAAAGAAATACCGACCTAGATAAGTGTGCATTTTGGCCCCCATAACAGACATGCGTATTGGTTTTTCAGTAACTCAATGGATCCAATAAGACTGGGATTTATCTGTTAAACACGAGCACCTGAGCAGAAATCCCATCTCCCCAGAGCTGTCAGAGGCGCCGATGTGTAAGGCATCCTAAAGCGTGTTTTTTTAACAGGAGACACACTTTTCAGAGCTAACGCATTTGTATGGAAACAACAACGAATTAGACGAAGGAGGCCTTTTCAGGTGGATGATTGTCACATCGAACCGTGGGTGGTTTACCCAGGTGTAAGATACGATTGTTATTTCAGAAAAGAATTTCTGTCCGGGTGCACACATGTGCCACAGTGAAACCAGGAACGAGTTCCGGATCCAGTTAAAAATGAATAACATACACTCAAGGGAAGGACACAACGGGGGTGTTATTTTAGCTTCTACAAGATACTTTACACTCAACCACATCTGATTGGAAACGTCCGCGAGGCCTTTTAAGAAGAGTGATATATCCGAGATAGAGGTGAGAACACTGTACATGTGAATAGGTAGACCTACAGGAAGTCCCAGACTTTCGTCCGGATAACAGAACATGAGGGTCCAACTCAAACGTGACTAGACCTACGGATTTTGCCGGAAGGTGCGCAAATCGTCTATCAAGGACGGAAGAACTGAGGGGTTCGTTTTTGAATGCGATGGAGCGCCGGATGCATAGGTGCTCTTCATCAATATCAGAAGTGGTAACAACAAATAAACGTGTACAAGGCGTCCGGAAGCTCTAGCTGCTAGTTCTACTGAAGAAAAATCAGCTGGATGGAAGCTGCGCATTACGAGCTGGAAACGGTAGAGTATATATACATGCCTTCAGGAGGTCTAAGGCCACTTTTTCCATTACGACAAGAGTCTGCAGTTTGGATCACAATTTCAAGTGCATCTACCGCCACTCAGATTTGTCTACCGAAAGTTTGGTATGAAAATTAGCTGGTTGGTCATGTGATTCCAAGCCGCATTGCCAATGCGAAGTTTGGGTGGACACGGCGCCGTTAGTTCTAACTTACCATATCAACTGACCCCATTTACATGCAATTAGCAAATTTCAAATCAACACTCGTAAATGTACCATTACGTTGAAAAATACCATTGACAAGTGATTCGTTTGAGTCTTACGCTACTACCATCTTAGCGTGCAAGTGACGAAATAGCACTGTTCGCGAGCAGTGACTGTTGGTGGAGTCAAAATTGCGTTGTAATGCACTGTCCGACCCGGGAAACTACATGGAAATGCTTATATCCTTTCACGTATCCAGTGATCGCAGCTGTGCATGACGTACCGAACGTAGACGCAATGCGGAAACAGCCACAGCTAGAAGAAACATTCGCCGGCGAAACAATGAACCCGCTGGTGGAAATGAATTTTACAACCTCAGAGGAATGTCACCTACGGGTCCAGTGAGCTAGGCTTCGCACGACGAACAATCTGCAGCATATATCTGACTGGTGTTCCACGGTGTAACACGTAGAAAGGCATTCTGGAGGTTCACAGACAACCAGGAGAGGATGACATGAGCAAGACAAGAGGCAATCCGACGAGGGTTTTAGAGACCTGGCTACACAAGTAGGCTCATAAGTTTTATCCTAAGTGCGAAAAGGGTGCGCGGACAAATGCATCAGAAGATACCCGACGACTCCCTTCGAAGGGATTTACCAGTGAGGGTCAAAACCAACGCCTAAGAACTGACTTCAAATCGTTCGGATGGTAGAAGGGGGCAAGAGATATGTTCTGGCAACAGTTGACTCTTTTACGAAACGGTGTGAAGCACTACCGATAGTAAACCCTCCACAGTTAACGAGTTGACGCAACGGAGTCTCAGCAGTCTTATACCTAGATGAGGGTGCAGGGTTTGAAAACTATTCCCTTGCTGAAGTATGCGGCTTCATACCAATAAGCAGAACACAAATTGTCGTCCCCAGGTCGCCCATATGCAAAGCGTCCTTCAACAACATCGAAGGCAATCTAATCAACAAGCTCCAAACCAACGACCTTTCTGGTAAGATGAGGCTTAACAGCGCCGTGATCCTCCAGTGCACTGTGGACATGGTCGATCAAAAAAAACGGGAAAACAGGGTCACCTTGCAGCATTCTGCTGGACACGGAGAAGAAACCAAAAAGCCTGTTGTAAACCCTGATCTTCCATGACATTTGACGGCTTACGATGTTCTCACGTAGTTCTCTGGTAACCCACTGTTTAATGAGATATCCCACAAAATTGCCTAATTCACAGAGTCAAATCCTGCTTTGATATCCAGGAACACCATGATAGTGTGACAGTGTTCCAACAGCCGAGTCAGGATAAGGATTTAGTCGAAACGGGTAGGGTGTGACCCCCCCGTTTGGCAGGCAAGCGATGGAGATGATTGGATGCCAACAGTACAGTCACAGCTAAAAATCAGGGTTGTGCTTCGGCAGTCGCTAAAAAACCCTACAAGAAATATTTTTCAGAGTGGAAAAACTAGTGGTTCAGTCCACGCTCGAAGGACCACTTCCTCAAAACATTTGTGAGAACACCACAACTGACTGATCATGCTGCTAAGTCGGAATCAACAAAAAACTACGCGCAAAGATAAGCGCAGATGAGTGATTAACCTTTGCCATTGTATCATAGTCTATATCATTTCCGTTTGGCAATTATCACCTTTGACTCCATCTGGAATATCCCTATTAGTTCAGTTGAAGAGATACGGATGAAATGTCAACAAACCGCGAATAGTACGGCCTGATTTCCTTCGCCAGATGGACTAAAAGGAGCTAAAATGCGAAATTTTAAAGCAAAGGTCTCCTATTCGTGTTGTTCGATCATTTGCTAATCCGTTACCCAGTAAGGAGTTCTATGGAGTGTTCTCCGGCTGTCGTCAGCGAACTTTCGTCAGTCAACGCCTATCTTGTGCAACGTACCAAATTTTATGCTGAAGCATCTAAATCCAGGCTAACCAGAAGAGAACACAGATAGGATTACGGCTAACAAAAATGAACATTTTCAGTTGAGGTTTCGTCCTACCAGTAAAGCCAAGGTAAGCTGAAAAGCCGAGAGGCATTCTTATTGGAAATTATCAGCAGCTATATTCTGTTAAGTGAGGGCTAGTCACACTGCTTTTCAACTGCTCGTGGTTGAACGGTTAAATATCCAACCACTGGAAGGTCATGGGCTCGAAACTCCCTGGAGTCTCGTGAGATAAGTGCTCTTGATGATGCCCAATAAGAATGAAACAGCTGCACAATGCTTCTCGGCTTTTCAGCATAGACTGACTTTACCTACAGAACGAAATTTCAATTAACAAGAAAAAGAATCGTCCAGCTGTAGCACCCTTTCGGTGCCTAGCTGCCATGACACACGAAGGAGGCTGAGATACTGCCAGATCGCCCAAGCCTAGATAGGGGAAGTCGAGTGGCAGAGGTCGGGTTCGAACCACGGACCCTCTGATCAGTAAATTCGCGTTCTAACCACTTGGGGCATCTCACCAATCAACAAGTATCAAGTATTCTCACAAAATCATAAAAAATGAACATGACACACTAAGGAGGCCAGGTGGACCGGCAGGACCACCCCGAATACACTACTAAAGACATTCAGCAATGACCGAGAGAAATACGAGTAAATAATGTATCAGCTTGTGCAAGGTATTCACACCTGGACTACCTACGCTTTTCAGCATAGATGCCATGAAAGAAAGCCATAGACTAGGTAGAACGCTTGGTCCCTTGACAAATGCAAGTACATTTTTCAGTTTTTGGGGAAGCATAGTATAGGGATAAGATTGCGCTCAGATTTCGGACGATGTAAAATAGTATCAAGAGTGGTGAGAGAAAAAAATGTTCAACCCTGAGACACGGTGAGGGATTGCGGGTATACGATGAGTTCAAGTTAGCAGGAGTCCAATCAAGCTCGCTCCGCGCTGAACCAGTCCATACAGAACTGCACCATGGAAAACAGTATACCACCGTGAATTATGACAGACTATCACATCACAGTAGTCGGGGTGAAATTTGCTCAGGGGAATACACATTCCCAAGGACGAAGTATAAGTTCCCAGTATTTTCACAAGATGATTATTATGGTCCATCCTAAATAGCCAGTAGAAAATTCGCGTACCTGTCGTAACGCTCACGCAATTTTTCCAGTTCACAGGTCATTATTCCGCGTTCCTCTTCCAGTTTCTTTTCCAGGTCGATGAATTCCAACGCCTTCTTGTCAATGGCTTGAGTGGCTGCCTGAAGACGTGCGCGTAGGTCTTCGTTTTCATGCTGTAAGTCTAGGCTGAACAATTGGAAAAGGGAAATGGTGAAAGCCGCCAGAAGTCAACAACAGAAAAGTGAAAAGAACAGCAATAATTACATTCAGCCGCAACAGAGATTGATAGTTAAATACATTGGCATACATTCTGATGACAACGGCTAGTGAATTCTGATAGCCAATTAGCATTTGCTACTCGGACGGCTAATGCTAGCGAACTACCTATACATAGCTAATTATTAGAGGGTACATCTCTGACGTGTCCTAGTGACAACGGATGGAACTAAGCAGCATGGATGAAATGGATAGAAGTCCGAATCTATTCAGGTTGACAGTAATCAAATAAGGAACTCACAGTTCCATCCGAACGTGGAAGAATTTGGAAACCAAAAGAATGAACGGAACTTGGGAGGGATGATTGGGAGCTGAAAAAATAAAAAAAAGGAACTGAAAAACCGAAGACGATGTAGCTGTTTGGCTTTGGTGGCCGATGGAGACATTTCCTTGAAATTCAAGGAGTGCCGCTGTTCCGTCTTATATCTAGTCTCTCAGCGAACCTGGTAACGCTGTGTCAAAAGCAGAAACCCTCACATTGTGTAAGGGTGTGGCGACCTCGTTTCAGTACGAACTGACGTTCGACGGCAGAACAGCTGGAATAGAGTGCAGAAGAGAATTCCGATAAACTTATCTAACTTCCGGATTGCCAATCTCTCAGTTACTCTATTTGTCTACACCTTACGCGGCCCTGTAAAATGGGGGATAAACGACTCCCGACGTGGTCGGGATGCATGTGTACCAAAACAAGCGATAGTTAGTTATTGATCCGTGCCAGCGGTATCTGAAGGCGGTGTGATCAATTTGAGTTCGAAGCCGGCACGCTTTCGGAGGACAACATGTGGTCAGACGACTTCAGCCATTTGGAAGTTAGTGCTGCATAAAAACAGCCTGCGGTCAGCACACAGCTGAAGCAATCGTTCGCCACTGTCCGCTGGGACCGAGTCCAACTCAGGTCGACCTCCTAATTGAGTCTCAGATGTGCTAAGCCTTCCCACTTATGTATTCAGATCTCCGGTAACCACAAGGATACCTGAGCTTTTAGCTCGCCGCAACAGAGCATTCATGGCACCATAAAACCTGTCTTTCATTGTGTCAGAGCTACAGTGGTTTGGGGAGTAAAAAGACGCACAAACGGACATAGATCAACTTCCAGCTTGTGGGACAGCTTGACAGACGTTGAAAGACGAACCGCACAAAGGTGACTATCAACGGGCATTCAGTCAAGCATAAGTCCTTCCACTTGAGTGATTTAGGAAGATACCAACCCGTGCTGCAGCGGCCTGCGGATTGTCGGAGGTGCGCAGCCGGAAACGAGTGGAGTGATGGGACAGTTAGCTTAACCAACGCGCTAGCATCCTGAATTCCTGTTTCTGATACATTGCACATACCAGCGTCACGTGACTCTAGTGTGCGAGTAAAAGTAACCTGTTGTCCTACTCGTTTCAGAGTGTGAACACTAGAAGCGGCCAGATAGACTGGGCATCTAGGCTTGAAGATTGATTTCGACGGCTGCCCGCAGATGCTGCGGCGAAGACCAATGGAAGACGAACGGAGTCATCAGTAATAACGGATGGGCCTACAAAGAAAGTTATCAATGGAGTGGGGAAGGAGGGAATAAAAAATATGTAAAAGAGGAAGAATGGTGGCTTCACTAGTAGAAGAGACAACCTTCGTCGCCAGACGCTGTCACAATTTCTGAAGGCCAATGGAGTCAAAAGAGACTGAGAAAGACAATCACTGTTGGTCGTCGGAAGGAGTGGTATTCTACACTTGTCGAAATAGATATACGACCGACGCAATCTTGGCCAGGGGAAAACCCAGATTGGCTCTAACGAATCTGAATCTCCTGGTGATGAACAAACCTTTCAGTTTCTACACTTGTCGAAATAGATATACGACCGACGCAATCTTGGCCAGGGGAAAACCCAGATTGGCTCTAACGAATCTGAATCTCCTGGTGATGAACAAACCTTTATAGATACTACCAAAAAATGCTATGGAATCTATGGCCACTAAATTATTGCCGCGGTGATTTTCGCATTACGTTCTTGAACCCTTCTGGAATGTGAGAATTAATGTCAAAGCTCCCCATTCTGTTGAACTTTTTCTTTCTCGTTACATAAATTTTGGAATAAGGTAGTTGGCTTAGCCAAAAGATGCTCGCCACCATCTTTGAGGAGTGCAAGATCAAAACCATCTGGACCAGGTAATTTGTTGTGTTGACGCAACGAGATTGAACACTGAACTTCCGTTGTCGATGGCGGACAGATATCGATGTTCCGCTCGGATTCGTTTGGTTTTTCCAAGGACTGAGATGATGCGACTCTGCTGAACTGTTATTCAAAGTGTTCAACTCATCTCTCAAGATGAGGTTTCTGTAACTGAATTGAATTCCCATCTTTTTCCGAGACAGTTACACTAACACCCACTCTCTTCGGAACAGCTGATAGGATATGCTAAAACAAGGCTCGATTGTTTCCAGATACAAAAGCTTTCTCCACTTCCCATGCTTTTGCAAGCCAACAGAGCTGTCATTCCTTACGCTACTCATTACTCAGCATTTTATGGATCCGCGAGCGCCATCATAGTCGTTTGTTGCTAGTCTATCTTTCTTCGCTTCCATCAGAGCTGCTGATAGTGACGAGATCCAGTGTTCAATGGGGCACAGGAGCGACCTCGGGTGGACAATCATCATTCAAGTCCCCGTTGTGCTCGTCAAATTCCGTGAGCTTCTCAACCAGCTCAACAAGATATTGTTGGGCTACGGAGATGCTTTAGAGTTGGTGAACTGAATGGTACTGCATCAACCGAAGTATCCCAGAGAGGAAGCGATTAGTTATGGGTGCCCGCGATCGGAATCAAGCCGTATAATCCAAAGCAAGCAGCAATCTTGTCTCGAAGCTATCCCCCGGTAGCTGACTGCCATATGGTTCAACTTGGTCCACGGCTGGCTCGCATGGCCTCCAAGTCGCTTCTGCTGACAGTTTGTGCTGGCTAACAATAAGTGATGTTCAGTACATAACTGATGAAGTTGCTCAGCATAATATGTGCGGTGAGAGTAAACCTCAAGTAAGCCGCCAAGATGGGCTTCACCAGGAAGTAGTCAGTCAACCCGAGCACTTACATCACCAGACTATCGAATCATTAGCTCCGGCTCAAAAGGTCTGATCCACTTGCAGCCTTCAGTGTTCGTACTCTATGACGAATAGGGTAACAGGCATCTTTACTTCCCTTATCTGCCCCAACTCGGTCATGCACCTGAAGCCGCTAAGGATGAGCTCAGATGTTCCAAATATCGCTCTTCGGGTGTCTGGTGATCCTCATGCAATAGCCCGTGGTATCTATGGTGTGAAAGCTGCACTCATTCCCAAGGCTGAAGGCAGTTTACTGGACCGGATGCCCAAGAACAGTCGTGTCTGCGCTGGCCCAGCAATTAGGACTGATGACTCCGTTTTGAGTTAACGCCCCGTCAGTCTCCACTCGCTTCCGGCTACGCACCTCTGGTGATCCAGAGGCTGCTGCGGTGGGATGTGCAGGGGTTGGGTTTGGGCTAAGTCACCGGGCGGAAGTATCCTTACTTGACTGGATACCTGTTGATAGTCGCCTCTGTGCGGTTCGTCTGGCAACGTCTGTGAAGGAGTCTCACAAGCGGCAAGTTGATAGATGTCTGTTTATCGTGTCTGCCTATGCCCCAACTGATTGTAGCTCTGACA